GGTTATCCTGGAATGTTGGAAAGGTATAGTGATGTTAATTGAATAAAGAAAACAAAGATTCACTATCAACATCCATATGGATATTTACATTATCAGGTGGTACGATATCATAGGAGTCAAATAAAAAACGTTTATTTTACGCTCTACTATGGAATATGAAATTATTGTTTTAAACTTTGCCGATAAAGAGGCCGAATGGCTAAAGAATTTGTTATATGACATTCCCATGTGACCAAAACCAATACCTGCAATAACAACCTATCGCGAGAGCTTGTAATGATATATATAATGAAAAATCTACACATATTGCAAGAAGGCATAACTCCATTAAAATGTTAATTGGGGATGGAGTAATTAGTGTAGAATATGTAAAATCAAAAAAAAATTTGGTTGATCCTTTGACTAAATGCCTCATAATGGATGACATTAGTAAGATATCAAAAGAATGGGGCTAGAATCCATTGAGTAGTTATTTACAATAGAAATCCAACTTAGTCTTTTGTGTTGGGTTTATGTGGCCTTTAAAGGCCTTATGAGTGATTGTGAGGAGACATTTGATATAATGGATCATGAGCTTAGAAGGAGTCTGGTCCCTAGTGGATCATATCATGCAAACGATGTTTGCACATATCGAACTGTGCTTAACGGTCTAAGCTAGTTAGTTGGGAAAAACCCAAGTTGCTTGGGCATAGAGAATAAACTGATAAGGGTTATAATGAGTTATCCTTTGATGAGGTCAGAGTATGCCCAGATGAGTGAGCCGAGGGACTGTGTGACCCTTGTGTGTGATGGTGGCCTACGGAGATGGGGTTCAAAACCTCATCTATGTACTATCACACGACATGCATATTGATAGACGTTCGGGAAAGTAAACAAGTCATCTCTTTTGGATGAAGTGTATGCATGTGTGAGAGATGCCCTATGCGCCATAGAGTTGTGGTTGCATCAGGTCTAGGTAACTTTGACTCGTTTATAGGGGAGAACTTGAAATCCACATAGTGGGATTGCAACCCCTTAACTCATCGACTAGACTTTGGTGACCCGCTAACGAGCTCCTACTTGAAATGGGTCATGGGCAACACTAGGTCGACATGATAAAGCAATCATGGTATGTAGTTCACAGTTGAAGGTGGAGTGCCCTGTTGTTGATTTAATTCCTTGACCATATAGATCATTTTCTCATCAAATTAATTTAATTATGTTTCTTTTATGGTAGATATTATTTTCGAATTATTATTTGAATTTTTATAAAACTCTGAATATTTTATTTATAATATTTGGATTTATAAAATTAAAGATATTAAATTTTTAAAGATTTAAATATTTAAATAATATTCTAAAATTTATTTTTAATATATGTTTTTTTTTTTTTTAGGGTTGCATTGTGCACATAGGCCCACTATACCCAGATTTTATGGGGCTCACGTTGCCATCCCTTGGTTAGCACGCCCCTATTTTAGGGGGCTTCCTATCCCCATAGGAGGCATGCCCTATTTTTATGGGTTGGTTGATTTTGATTTATTTTAAGTGGGATTGAGATAATAAGTTGATATGAGCTTTTGATATGGCTTATCTAAATAAGCTTGAGTTGATAAGTATGCTCTATCTTTAAAAGATTTGAGTAAAATCTTCTAGAATATAATTGATTTTTATGTGATGGGATAATAGTCAAAGGAAAAAGGGGATAATGGTTTCAACTAATTTTGTAGTATGTTGATGGTCCATCTATGAAATTGATGACTCAGATCTCTCACCCCACAACTCACCCTTGATCGATGGTTCAAATTCAATATTGTGACGCAAATAATGAAAATCCAAAACCTAATTTTATGAGGTCCTAGCTCTCTTCTCTATCTCGTACCTCTCCTCTCTCATACATTATCCATTTTCTCCATGTCATCCTTTAAAGGTAAGGGGCACACTCAACTTTATCCATCTCTCTCAACTTTATCCTCCATCTCTCAAATTTATCTCGTGCACTGCTTAGTCTCTTTCTTCTTTGACCTCTTATAGAAAGGGGATACGTCTCTCTCCCAAATCATAAAAAATTCTCAATTTTATTTAAAGCCTTAGGGTTCAAGAAAAATAAAGAAGAAAGAAGTTTTCTCTCAATATTTTGGAAGATTTATCTCGAGAATCTAGCTTGAGCATAAGGGTTCCATTGAAGAGCTTAGTTGAAAATAGCTTTCCCAATTGAGATTGAACGAAGACCGTCGATCCCGCGCCATCGGATGGTGGTGCCTCGGTATGAGGTGTAATAAGTCAAGTTAAAGTAATCTCCAATATTCTGTATTGTTTCTTTTATATTTAAATGTATGGTATTTATATTAAGCACAAGATTTGTTGTTATTTTATTTAATTAAAGAAAATTGGTTTAGTGGCATCAAAGTTTTAAAAATATTGGATTTGTAACTTTTTATTTTCTTTGAAGCAAGAGTTATTGTAATAAGACTATTTGTAAGTGATCTTTGCCAAAAGGAAAAAAAGAAGAAGAGGTGAAAACAAAAAGAAAATCCCCAGCAAGATCACATTGGTCGCACTTTCATTTTGTAACCTCAAAATTCTTAGTTCAATATGGTAAAAACAAGTTGTATGTATGCTTAGTTTGGTCACTAAACGACAAAATACAATAGCATCCATTCTAAAAAAATCCATACGATGGATAAGTCTAGTAATAACCTATATGTTACTAGGATGAACTGTGCTATTAATGTTGTCTGTGGACTATATTTATAAGTTTGAGTGTTTTATAAACAAAGGGCACTATTGATAGACACACTTATATAAGTGTGGAAGTGATGCCGCTTCCTATGAGATGGACTCGTCTCTAAAGCACTTATGAAAGCGGGACATAAGCACAAAGCCCAAATATGCTGGCAGCTAAAAAGACATCAGAGTTGAATATTGTTTGTGAGTTATACTACTGATCTGTTAGATAAACAACCTGGTTCAAAGCTATACGCTATCAAGATACTTGATGGACTTTGTAGTGTATACTCTAAGTAAAAGTTCAAATAAAAAAATACTTTGATGGTATGCAAATAATATGTTTCCAATGTTTTATTTTTTATTTTGAAATAGTGGAGGAAATTGTTAGTATTTTTTGTTTGAAAAATGCTGAAGTATATTTTAAAATAATAATTTTGGTTTTATAGTTCTGTCTTCAATTGCTTTGTATTAAGGTATAAAGGACAGAGAAGGCGTATGTGCGGAGTACGTGAAGCATGTAACACACACATGCATATATGTGTGCATGTTCGTGTTTGAGGGCATGGACGCAAGGGCGCTTGATGGCGTACTTTACACTCACATGCAAGTGCTAGGGCATGGGGCGTAAGGGTGCTTGATGATGGACTTTGCAATTAACTTGTAGCCGTTGAGATGCATGTAACCATTCAAGTGCATGTAACTTGTAGCTATTGGGGTGCACGTAACTTATAGCTATTGGGTGATGCATGCAACCATGACAATACTAAATAGGCAACCTCTTAGTGCTCTATAATAAGAGTCATCCTACCCATATATGTTGGACACTTAGAATATTTTTTGAGCCTCTCAACATCACACTATTCTATGCAATTCAGGCAAGCAAACCATTGGGCTAAACTCTATCTACTCGATTCTCTCTCTTTAATACATAAATTCTATCTACTCGATTTTCTCTCTCTAATACATAAAGACTTTAGTGCCTAATGTTTGGTTTCCTAGCTTGGGTGCATGGAGTATGGGAACATTAAAAATATCGAATTGTCATACACATCAAATACTATATCGAAGAGGACAAATATCATCTTGAGGATACTATATCGAAGAGGACAAATATCATCTTGAGATAACTCATTTGCGTTTATGAAACTTTCATTTTTTTAATTCATACGATTTCCTGTCCCGATTTCATCCAAACAAACTCCAACGGAGTATTTGTATAAAAACATGGTACCCGTAATGAGAATCCATTTTTTAAATTTTATAACAGGGAAAAACGTCTCTTTCACTGGCTTCCGACACATGTGGGTTGCTAAAGACTCTGACCCATGCAGAAAGCCAACTTGGTCTCGAAGAAACTGCATGGAAGCGTTTAAAGAAACCTTGCCTTTTACTCTCACTGATAAGATTTACTACTCTCCTGGAAGCATACTATTTACCTATGGGGCAGAATTTACTCTAGAACATCTTTTAGATACTAAAATTTGAAGATGTACTTTGTAAAGCCTATAAACCAATATTTAAGAGAAACAGATTTAGCTCTCACTTTAGAACTAGTGTAGAAAAAATTGAACCAGAATCGTTAACCGGATATGAAACCTAAAGCGGTTACTCGACACTAATCATTAAATCAACTTGCCGAACCAGACAAGTCTTGGGGGATAAAAATGTGTTAAAAAATATAAAAAGAATATTATAAAATATGAGAAGTATGTTTAAAGCATGATTACATAAAACAATCCAAATGAAGTTGAAAATTAAAGAAAAAATAAATTTTAAAGAATCGATTTGTGCCCGAAGTATCTTTTAAATTTCAAAAAAAGTAAAAATAAGTATTAATAGCCTAAATAATTTTCAATCTTCGCCAAAATGATGATAAACATTAAAAAATATATTACAAAAAAAATCCATTATTTTTAAAATTTTACATAATTTTTATTTTATATAAAATACCTGGCCTGTTCACCAAAACCGATCAAATTCGATCTAACTGGGTGGTTCCGATTTCAACTGTTTGATTTTTCCTACACTAATTAGAACTATCCAATTTTTGAAGTGAATAATATGGAAGTTCAAGAATCTAATATTTAATTTTTTCTTTAAAAATAATCATCTAGTCATACTTAATGGATTCTAAAATTTCAAGTAAAAAAAAAAATCTTCATGTTTTGACTGAAGGAGTAAATGTACAGTAATGCTCCCAAGGTAGCATAGTATATACACAAAATGCAATATGGCGCCCAATCCAAGACCGAGAGAGTCCACGTTGGTAAAATGCCAAAAAAACGGAAATTAGGACCGAAGAGAACTCGTCAGGGAAATTACGGAATAATAAACAGACAAATACTCATAAATTCGTCTCCCGCCCTTCTTCACGGTCATGAGAAAAAGGACTCTTCTTATCAGTTAAGGATACGAGAATTTATGTTTTCCCTTACCCTTTAATGGCGATCGCTGAACCTTGTCCAGGTAAAAATTTCTGAAGCAACTTTGCAATGTAGGTTAGGTTTAGGGTTTTCATGCCTTCTGCTTGTGTGGTTTTGATCCTTCTTCCTTACTTCGGATTCGAGTAACATGGTGGCTTCTGGTTCATATTTGAGTTTGCTTGGTGTTTGAGAAATATGGTTTTTTAAGGTGTTATGTGTACGTGAAAAGTCTTTGAGGCTTTAGGGGAGAGTAGCTTTTCTTTGGAACTTCTTTTTGAAGGATTTTGTCTGGTTTTTGAGGTGTTTTAAGTTGTTTTTGCAGAGATGACGAATCCTTTGAAGAGAAATCACGAGGGAAAGGAGGTTGTATCTGTGGTGAAGGGGCAATGCCTGGAAGCAAAGGGGTCCAAGCCCGAGGAGTTTGAGCCTCGAAGGTGCATTCATCTTGTTGATTATTTTGATTTTTTTTCTCCTTTTTCTTTGGGACTGAGGAGTTGATTAGTTGGAAGGAGTAAACGGTGGATTTCTTTTTCTTGTTAGTTTTTTATTGTTCTCTTTTTTTCATTCATTAAGGGCCAGTTTGGATGTCAAATAAAAATAAAATTTTATCCAATAAAAATCCAGTTTCTCAAATACCAATTGCAAAAATACCGAGCCTTTTTTCTTTTTGGGTGTTAAAGTCTATTTTTCTCTCTGCAATTCTCTCCCTCAACAAGAAGGGGATATATACGCAATTAACGCTCTCTCTCAGCCTGTTTTTCCCTCTAACCTTGATTACCACAAATCTGCGAGCAGAAGAATGGAACAATGGTGAATTAGAGATCTCCTTGCGTCCCTCTTCTTTTCTCCCCTTTAACAATACCCAAGCTAGCAAACCCTAATGGTAAATTAATGATCTCCTTGCATCCCTCTTCTCTTCTCCCCTTAAACAAGAGACCCAAGCTTGTGTTATTGTTGTTCTTCTTTTCTCATCTTCTATGTCTTATTTGAACTTACTATTTTACCTCTTTTCTTCTCCCCTTTAACAAGAGACCCAAGCTCCATATATAGTTGTTCCCCTTCTATCATCTTCTCTGCCTTATTTGAGCTTCTCTCATCTTCTCATTTCTTTGTGACAGTTGGTTTTCCTTTGAAGATTTCGGGTTGAAGTAGTTTAGAGAGAGAGAGAGAGAGAGAGTAGATTTGGGGTTTTTAAAGTAGAGAGTCATTTCTTTGTGACAATTGATTTTCTTTTGAAGATTTTGGGTTGTAGTTTAGAGAGAGAGAGAGTAGATTTGGGGTTTCTGAGGTTGAGAGGGAGAGTAGATTTGGGGTTTTTGAGGGAGAGAGTAGATTTGGGGTTTGTGAGGTAGAGAAAGAGAGAGTAGATTTAGAGTTTATGAGGTAGAGAGAGAGAGTAGGTTTGGGGTTTTTGAGGTTTCATGGTGTGGGTTGTTGCGTGACAAGGTGGAGTTTGCACGGGGTGAGAGAGCCGTACTTTCATAATAAAAAAAAAATTCAAGTCTGACTTGAATTTGTTTTTACGGTAACTTTTACCTTGAGACTGTATAATTTTTTATTTCAATCTAAAAATCTAGTAAAATCTTGTGGTTGTCCAAACGGTTCAAATCTATTTCACAAAATTGCAATCCAAAAATATTGCAATTTTGGATACATCCAAACTGGCCCTAAGTTTTTTGAATTTTTTGGTATTTTCCTGTATTTTCCAACGGTTTTTTGGCAATGCTTTACAAGAAGAAGCTTTTGGGTTTCATTTTCTTTTCTTTTATTTTTTTTGGAATTTTTTTTATATATTGTGGTATTTTCCTTCAATGCAACTAAGATTGTCTTCTTTTTGGCATTGATCATTAGTTGGGAAATGTTGGATTTCTGACCTTTCAAGGCTTTAAAGCTAAAATTCTCTTGCTCAATGGGAATGAGTGAGAATGGATTTGGGTGTTTGGCACATTGGGGCTAAGATTCATGTACCCTGGGTGCATGAGATAATGAGTGTTTTACAATTTAAGAGAGAGAAATCTCTCTGGGAGGTATGATGATCACTTCTAACTCTGGGCTATGTTGATGAGTATGCCTCATGGTTGTTGTGATTGGCCAGGGCTAGGAGAACCAAAAGAGTATAAGAAAACTCAAGTAATTTATGCGTAATGGTGAGATATGAGTCCGTATCCTAACATGAGACTACCCTATAGTATGGGAAACCACTCTTCTATTGTTTGATCCAGCTAAGAAGAGCTAGTGTATATGTTCTTTGGGAGGACCTCTGTATATGAGCATTTATATGTCTCACAGGGATGCACCTGTAATCCATTGAGCACTAGGTAATGGAAAGCTTGAATGTATAGACTTTGATGATGCCAAATTACGTGTTCATGCTATAGACCGTGGAACATACCTGTTGGGTCATCCCAAGATAAAGTGGACCACCATTCTAGATTAGCCCAACGGAGTACACCAATTCCTATATCTAATCCTAAAGATCTTATTTAATAATTGTCCCATTTTATTCTGATGAGAAAATGTTTATTTATGCTGAAGAATATCCAGAAGTTTTTGGAATTTTTTAAGGATTTTTTGGAATTTATTTGGGGCAAAAAATGTGGCTTTTAAAGTTGTTTGGGGATAATTCTAAGGAAGGAAAGCTTGTGGGGCGGTCCCACGTGCCACCCAAGTGGCCATAGCGTGGGCCACATGGCTCCCCATGCTGATGATGTCATCACCAGTGGGAGTCCTCTTTTCGGAATTATATTATTTGTTCACTTAAGTTGTATAGTTTTTAATAGAAACTTATTTTATAACTTAAGTCAAGTTATTGTCACATGGGAGTTTGACACATGTGAATTAGATAGCATGTGCCAAGGGCTGAGCTTAGAAATAATATTTTGACTTAAACCCTAATCCATGAGAGAAAATAAAAGTCAAAGTAGCTTTTTGTGTGACATTATCTCATTGGCTAAGCCCATGTAAAGTTTATGGATTGATACATTGTGGATTGGCTAAGCAATGAGATATTATCCTAGTTGGAATACATTTCCAAATTATCATAGGGGCATGCCCCTACCTTTATGATGTTTTATTATTTTCATAAAGTTTCATGGTCAACTATGGAATGATTAAAGAACTTAGAAGGAAATCTTTTATGGGACAATGACAATTTGGTAAAATAGCTAATCTAGGGTTTTCATGGAGTGATAAAAGTGTGCAAATCACATACATTGATCTTGATGATTAGACATGGATGTGTTACTAGGATCAAAGCCCTCTCATATGCCATAAATGAACAGCATCAAGGGCTAGGATTGACTCACTCAAAATGTCTCACTACCTCAAAGCTATAAATACCCCTACTCAACCCCATTTTTTACACACTTATGAGCCATTGTAGTGAGAGAAATAAGAGAAAGAATTGCCTTCCTTGAACCTCTTCCCCCTTTCTTTTGTGAAACTCCTTGTCATGGTGATGGTGTATGTCAAATCTCATGGTGTTTAGTTCTACTCCTTTAAGGTAGTTGCCTCATCCATTTTTTTTCATTTTCTAAGCCTTATACCTTTTCTTTCATTGCTGTAATTCATCATTTACAGCAACATTTTAATTCTACTCATTAAGCTTTGGTGACCCATTATAGCCCTTCTTATACTATGCATGTATATTTTGTAGTATACATAGTGTAGTCATTACCTTCTATCACTAGACACTATTTACCTTTGTGTTTTGACCCCTGGTTTTTATCTGAGATTTGGAGCTTTATTCTCATAAATATTAGTGAGTATTTGTGGCATTTTAATCATTATTAATTGGAGATTGGAGTTAGAGAGCAAAGTGTTTGATGTTATGCTACAAGGTACTTCACAACATTCTTATAACTTGTGTTTCTTGTGAGCTAATTTTCTAAGCTTCACCAAACCTTTTTAGGGCTCAAAATTACATCTATATCTCTCTCTCATACTGAACAATACAAAATGGTGAATTAATGATTTCAAGCTTCCCATTGGTGTGAGTGAGTAAGCCCTTGAGTTTGAGCCATCCATACTTTTATTTATGAGACAACATTAAGTTCCAAAAAGATCCGATTTGTGATCTTGGCATTAAGGGTTCAATTGTTGGTTTCCTTTTTGTACTTTTGGCACTCTATTCATTGTGGTTTTGAGTTCACAACAGTTGAGTCATTGAGCTTTGAATTTGTGTTTTCAATGATGGCAAAGTTTTATGTGTAGTTTATGTAAGGGTGCTTCCATAAAGTGAAATAGTTTGAGTTTTTATATTCTAAGTGTTTAAGATTTTGTGTTGGGGACTCCATTGAATTCTAATTTGGGTTTTACAAGTGACATTAGAGTCAAAAGTTGTATTTTGTGGGTGTAACAGTTGTGAAAGTGTATTTGCACTTGCATGTGCATGGATTGCTTGTAAAATTTTAAACTACATTCACAAATCCAGTACTGTATACAAGAGAAGTCTACCCTCTATATCACTACAATTGGTATCAAAGCTAAGGCTCTTTGGTAGTGCCCTTAATCCCCCTTATGTGTCGTAGATTGAGTTCTTAGAGTCCCAAATAGGAGGCAATGACTACAAAGTCCATATTAACCTAATTGCTTAAAGAAAGATTCACTGGGTCAACTATCCTGAATGAAGGAGGAGGATAGGGTATGTCTCCCTTAAAGAAGATTTGACCACACTCTTGACCCAATACCCTCCTAATTCACCAGCCCAAAATGCCTCTCAAGAAATTAGGGATGTGTATGATACTTGGCAGTGAAAGAGTAGTAAGTGCCGTAAACATTGTTCTAGCCACCATGAATGAAATTTATGTTAAAGAATATGATGATTATGGCTCCGTGAAACAAATTTTGAATGACATAAAAAAGAAGTATGATGCACTAAAGGAAACTAAGAGAATTGTCAAGATGAGAAGCCTCCTAATTTGCAAGATGGATGATCATACAAGAGTAAGTGATCACTTGAGAGAATTCAACCAATGCATGAAAGATTTCATTCATCCAAGAACCCTCAAGACCCTCTTTATTATCTCCATATCTCCCTCATGGGAGGTTTTTATGGCTAATTTACTGGCAAAGGACACTCCTTCGACTATTGATGAGATCGTCCACTTCATGCAGGCGGATTGTTGGGTTTTGTGGCCTTTAAAGGCCTAAAAAGCTTGTAAATATGAGTGTCTGTGTTGGTTGACCAAGGGTTGGGCGCAATGTTATCAAATTCGCTTCGCTTCGGCCGAAGCCTTCGGATTTTAAGCATAAACCGAAGCGAAGAGAAGCATGGTGCTACCACTTTGATCAGATTCAGGCCGCTTCGGTCTGCTTTGGCCGGCTTCGGTCTGCTTCAGGTCTGATTCGGCCGAAGCTTCGGGCTACTTCGGTCAGAAGAGAAATACATATATAATTTTTATTTTATTTGTAGTTTTTCCATTATTTTTATATATTATATCTAAAAATGTCTAAATTATTTATATTACATTTTTTAAAAAAGTCCTAAGCCTTCCCCCACATCGGCCAAAGTATCGAATTGCTTTATTTTTCTCAACGAACCGAAGAAGACTCCAAAGCGAATCTGACAATGTTGGTTGGGCGATCTTTGGCCTTGGTTATGTCCAAAAGGTCGGAAAGGATTCAAGTTGAAATTAAAAAAGAGAACTCCAATTCCGGATTCTTTCAATTTCGAGGAAATAAAGCTTTGATTCTAGAAAATTTGTTGTAAATCTTGTTATAGATGCAAAAATGGGCAATGTTACATGGGTACTGACATGAGTGTCGTGTCAAGTACATGTCTAAAATGTCTAGTACTCTATCATAAAAAGCTAGTACGACTAGACACTTACATACAAGTGCTGTATTGAATAAGATGATTAGGTTTACATAATATAATTTTTTTCATTCTGGTACACAATGCAAGGTAAAAGAGTGTAGATTGCTGATCCCTCACAAGATGTTCCAAGTTGGAGCTGGAGGGTTAAGTATTGTTCTTTATTATATTAAATAGATATACTTTTTTTATCATATATAAAACTATTTGCATACTGATTGCATCTACGCATCACCGGCATGTTGGTGGATCTTACATTAACTCTCAAGAGGACATCGGTTCTAAAATGATGGAGCTCAACGTCTTCATTTTTTATCTTGATAAAAAAATTAAAAAGCTTGACCTACAATAGGATTTGAACCGAAAATGTCATTTCTTCCACAATAGAAGCCTGTATACTCTACCACGTAAACCTTTTGACTCAGCTGTTAAAAGATCATCTATAAGAGGGTGATATGTACTAAACTTGATGCCACCCGACATGTATGGACAGTGTGTCTGGGATGTGTCGTCAAGGTTGCCATATGTCATAGTGTTGACAAATGGTTACACGCAACGGTAAGAATGTTGGAGTACTCATACAACATTGAAAAGTAGTACAAGGCTCAAATTTGGCTGAAATGGCTTCAAATTGGTTCTGAATTGAAGGGAAAAAGCAAAATTATCATGCCCAGATGAGAAAACCCTCAAAAAGGGTTTTCAGTTTGGACTTGGGTAATTCCCTAGGAATTGGCCAGGACTCAAAACACCTGAGTCTCTTCAGTGGATCGCTTGAATTGGCCAGGACTTAAATGCACGACTCTGTACAATGAATCACCTGAATTGGCCAGGCTCAAATACCCGACTTTGTACAGTGAATCACCTCGTTTGCTACAATGAAGCGGTAGTGAACCAGGCGATTCTCGTCAAACTAGAGTCAGTCTTTGGTTTTTGGCCATTTGAACTGGAGATCTCCATGTTTCATTCATGTTGGCCCGCAAGTTTTTAACACTGCTATTATGTGCATGTTGCTGTTTTGTTTTGTTTTTATTCTTCTTTTCTTGTTTGAATTTTCTGAATTTTGATGTGTTTTTCTGTGTTTCAACAATCATACTGGATGTTCTTAGGAGGACTCTTTCAAGCTTGGCTTTTTTCTTGTGTTTTGATTTTTTTGTCATGTTTTTTTCATTAAATTTATTTCTTTCAATTCATGCTATTTTCTTGATTGGTTTCCTTTTTATTTTATTTTTTATTTTATCTTTTATTTTTCTTGATTTTCTTGTAATATTTTGTTGTCCAAGTAGCGGGACATTCTAAAGATGACCTTTATTATGCATGGTTTAGTTGCAAGAAGCTTTTGATTCTCATTGTTTTTGTTCATTTACAATTATTATATCATGTTTGCTCTATCTCCTATTCGCTCTTCTCTTTTTCTTTTCTGAATTTTGTAGAATTTTTCCTAATGCACCTATGAAAAAGACTCCCTCATATAGATTATTTATGTTTGTCAGAATTGGGGCTTGATTATTTAGAGGATACTTCTAATTCTTCTTCCTTGCTACATTTCTGTTAGTTTTCACCTTTTCTTCCTTTTTTTTTTCTCGTTTCCTTTAATCCTTCTAAATTTTGGGGTTTTTCGGTGATATAGCTACCAGATAGATATTTTGAAGGTGGCTATGAAGAGGAATACGATTGCCGTTCTGGATACTGGGTCTGGAAAAACAATGATTGCTGTTATGTTGATGAAAGAAATTGGACAAGTCTTAAAGAGTGGCGAGGATAAAGGGTTAATGATTTTTCTTGCCCCCACTGTTCACCTCGTAACCCAGGTGACTTCTATGTATTCTTCATTTCTTCTTCTTGTTTTTCTTCTTATTGTTGTTGTTGTTGCTGTTGTGCAAGAGTAAACAATAAGACCATATACTTTTAGTACAAAGGGGTCACAATCACCTTTGGTCGTTGGATATGAATTCGAATGGTTGGGGGTATGCTATTGATTAGGCTCAAAGTCTAAAGGAATATTTTTTGAAATTTGTGGCTTACCCGAAGTTGACGAATTTCACATTTGATGATTAGATGCGATTGTAACCTTTTTATATGAAAGATAAATGGTCGTATAGTGTACAATCTATTACTACTACTACTACTACTACTACTACTATTTTCATTAGCATCATTATTGTTATTCTTATTGTTATTATTATCATATCGTGAGAGGGGAGAGGGGGGAGAGACTGTTATGATACTAAGAGACAAGAGAGACTTTTTTTGAGATTTTTTATATAAAGGAATAAAACAAACACATACAAACCTAAAAGATTCTTTTTTGGTGTTTTTTTTTTGATATAAAAAAACATAAACAAAGACAATTACGAGGGACAAATTTTGGCATTTTTGATATAAAAATAGAAACCCATACAAGAATAGATACAAGAACCACGAGGTTATATAACTAAGAGAGTAAATGATTACAAACGATTTTTTTTAAAAAAAATAAAATAAAGTGATAGAACCTTTGGGAGGCTGTACTAAAGGGTACAAGAATGGGAAGTAGAACCTTTGGGAGGCTGTACTAAAGGGTACAAGAATGGGAAGGAGTGAGAGGTTTCTGATTACTTGGTTGGGAGTTGGATGGATACATGACTCCCTAAGTGGCTTATTGAGATGAAAAAGATGAGAAAAAATCTTTAACCTGTATACTAGAAAAGGTGTGCTAAGACTTTGGTCTGAAAGATTAAAACCACCTTGCAGTTTCTTCTCAACTGTCTTATAACTAGAGAAGATAGGTTTTATGAAAGACTTGGCCAATATCTGGATTAACGTATGAGGACAGACCTTTGGACGATCTCTCTTAAGGGACTCTCAGAGTAAACTCCCACAAGCAACTGCTCAAATATTCAACTCGTGCTTCATTTGTTGAAACAGATTATATACTTGTAGAGAGAAAGAAGTTGCCAATACTACTTTTACAATTTCACATGTGGTGTACATCAAATCTAGGGCAAAAAGTAAAAAACTCGGCAAGTGGGACAACTTATCCTACTTTTGTAAATAAAAAGTTACTTTGTTAAAGTAAAAGGAATCTTCTTTAATTATTCATTTTTCTTAACTATATATTCCCTTATTTAGAGGCATCGTCTAATTCTTTTTTTGTTTCAATCATCTCTCATGTTTCCTATATTTCCTCATTCTTTAAACCAGCTCTGATTTGTTTTTGAGTTTTAAGTGACATGAAATTGCAAAATGGCCTTCTTGCTTGCAAGCATAATATAGACTTGATGCCTTCTTCCTACCTTTCTGATAAAACTTGTAAGGTCTAAAAGACCTTCTTTTATGAATTTTACTGAATTTGGGAATATTATAAGTTTCAGCTTATTCAATATTATTACTAACTTTAGGGAAATGCTTTGTGCACAAATATGATAACTTTTTAATCTCGATGCAAGCAAATCCAATAACATCAGATAAAACAAAAGAATCTAATGTTGTCTCTTTAATTAAAATTGCTTCTACCACCATTTCGGCATTACTTTATGAATGAGCGCCTAAATATGTAGCATTACACATGGGTGTTCTATGGAGTTCTAGTATGTGACTTTCTTGAATAAAACTTTCAGAAAATTGCTCAAAATTATATGGACCAGTCAGGTTCCTTCTTATTAATAGTATCATATCCATAGCTTTCTGATTAGGATGACGAGCTATAAACTATGTAAATAAATTTTGAACCCAGCTTGATCAATTCTCTTACTGTGAAGGCATATTTTCTTGGTCAATCAAATTTTATCCCAATACAGAGCTTTTCCCTAAAACATCCCTACAACTCTATCCACAACATCTTCTGTGACCCGTTTTCTTATTTCATGTATCATATGGAACTTATGGACTGAAGAGATTGTATTTTCTCCTGTTTTATTACTAATCAACTCGTTTATGTTGAAAATTGGAATATCAATCTGATAGAGGGCAAAATTATTGTTATGTTTATTTTTTATTCAAATTTGAAGGATGTATATTTAGTTTTAAGGATGTATATTTAGTTTTTTTTAGGGATTGTAGGGTTTTTATATTTTTTATTTACTTCATGAGTACTATTCCCAAGTACTGTTCATCGGGCCTGAACTGTCATTACAGTTTTCTTTGTTTAAGTTAGGTATTTGTGGGGGTCATTTAATTATTGTATGGACATTTAATATCTTTGGACATTAAATTATAATATATAAGAGGTGTGTGGGGCCTTGTAGGGGTCATTGCACATCATCATCATCATCATTATAGCATTTTCTCTATTAATTAAGGTCGGCTACACAAATCCTAGTCCGCCATTCTGCTTTATTAAAGGCTATACCCACAGTGGGTCCATAAGTCCCTATATCTTTTCGGACTACTTCCAACCATGTCCTTCTGGGCATCCCCCTTGGCCTTTTCAGTTCTTCCACTTGAACTAACTCACATTTCCTAACATGTGCTGAATTTGGTCGGCCACATGGCCAACCCACCTAAGTCTGCTCTCTCTCATCTTATCGCCTATTGGGTGCCACACTTAAATTTCCCGAATGGATTCATTTCAAGTTTTATCCCTTCTTGTCTTGCCGCCCATCCATCTCAACATCCTCATCTCTGCTGCACTCATTTTATGGGTATATGTTTTTTGTCCGCCCAACATTCCGCTTCATAGCAAAGTTGGTCTCACAACTGTCCTATAGAACTTGTCCTTCAGTTTCATTGGTATGCGGTAATCACATAAAATTCTAGTGGCACATCTCCACTTCGTCCACCCTACTCTAATTCTGTGTGCGATATCTTTCTCAATCTCTCCATTTTCGTGGATTATCGATCCAAGATATCGAAAATGCAGTATTTTTTATACTTCATTGTTGTCAATCTTAACTACTTCCTCGTCTCTACTCCTGTTATTACTAATCTTGCATTCCATATACTCTGTCTTAGTCTGGCTAATTTTAAAACCTTTGGATTCTGGAGCACCTCTCCAAAGTTCTAACTTTGTGTTGACACCGTTTTGGGTCTCATCAATCAAAACTATGTCATCTACGAATAACATATACCATGGTACCTCATCCTGTAGGGGCCTAGTCAAGTCGTCCATAACTAAGACAAAGGTACGGGCTCAACGCTGACCCTTGATGTAGACTTAATATCACTGAAAACTCACTCGTCTCTACACTAGTTGTTCCTACACTAGTTAATGTTCCATCGTACATACCTCTCGCCAAGTCGATGTAGTGTGTGGAGACTCCTTTCTTTTCCAACACCCACCAAATCAAATCTCGAGGTACTCTATCGTAAGCTTTCTCTAGATCAATAAAGACGGTCTTTTTCCTTTGCCCTAAACTTCTCAATCAGTTGCCTAAGTAGGAAAATAGCCTTAGTTGTTGACCTTTCTGGTATAAAACCAAATTGGGTTTAAGATACACTCATTTCATGCCTTAGTCGTTACTCAATCATTCTCTCTTAGAGCTTCATAGTATGCCTCAAAAGCTTGATTCCTCGATATTTCATACAGGGATTAAACGTATGAGCCTTACTATGAAGGGGTCATTCCATGCGATTTTTTGAAATTGAAAGAGGGAAAAGCTTAGGCTTTTGGAACTTTAACTTGGGGGGTATGGAGAAGAAACCCTAGGTATCTTTGAATTATGCTTGTTTTTACTTTGTTTCTTGTAGATTTTACTGCTTTCTCAAAATCTAGATATCAAATTGGTATCAGATATCGCAATCCAGAACTTATAGTAGCAATGTAAGGGAGTTACTATAGTAGTGTAAGGAAGTTACTTGAGCGCTGTACAAACAGTGCTGTAACTGTCAATTTTTGGTGCTCTAGATCAACAACAAAGTGGAAAAGTTGCAGTGGGGGTCTAGGGTTTCTTTTTTGGGTCAAAGTTTTGCCAAAACAACCTAGATCTTGTTGATTTCAGCAGGTTTTGTTGATTATTTGCCTAGAGTTTGTGATTTCGGCATGATAGCGAGAAGGGGTCGTAGAAGGGGATTTTTGTAGACCCGCTCTGTGATCCCAAAGGTGAGAGAATAGAGGAACTTGAAAGGCAAGTTCAGCAGCTAACGCAGCAACTCGCGAGCCTCAATAATGGGCAACACGGTGATCTTTCAGCCTAAGAGGATCTCGAGTACAAGCCTTTCACTTTTGCGCTCCGTGTGTGGAGTCGAGTGATGAGGTAGTGATAGAAGACCTCGATGTTGGGAATATAGCATTAGGGTTTTTATTTGAAGGATGAGATTATTGATTTTGATACATATTGCATTGAAAATCAGCAAGTTTTAGATTGGGATTCACCACCAATCCTCGATACATACTCCGATGAGCAACAAGATCGTTTAGACGATCTGATCTATGATAAGGATCATGATGATGTTGAGGAAATTTTGGACGAGGGTGAAGAATTTGGAGAGAAGGCAGCTGAAGGACTGATCCAAATACTGGCCTTTGAATATCTCATTAATATCGAAGAGGTGGAGCCAATGTTGTCAGAATCGCTTCGGAACCTTCTTCGGTTTGGTCAGATAAATGAAGCAATTTCGTGCTTCGACTAATTCGGGTTAAGACTTCAGACATTTTTTTTTTAAAAAATTAATGAAAATAAAATATATCTTTGTATATAAAATATATTAAAATAATAAAAATATCAAAATGAGAAAGAAAAGTCCATTCAATTTATTTTATCATGTGAGGAAATGAGAATATCTTTATTTTAGGGAGGATATATTCGTTTTGCATAAGGTAGAGGTGATTTGAAATTAATTTATTATTTTAATACAAGTAAAGGACACTAAAGGCAAGAAAATGGGGGCAAAG